TATCATGAGTTGTGGTCTTGAACCCGTAAAATCAGCAGGTGACACGAAAAGGTCCATGAAGAACCATTACTGTGATCATGGCCCAGTCCATTGACCAAATATATATATGACATAGATCAACTGTAAAAACAATCAAAGAATAAGCTCATTATGTCCAGCTCGATGGATGGGCCACGGGCAATTCAAATAAAACTGTTTTATCTAAAACCCTCCCTTAAATTATGTTTTTTTTATTAATAATTATATATCTAATCAAATATATAAAAATTTCATTAAACTCTTTCACTATCTCTCCCTTATTTTCTCTCAATCTCTCTCTCTTTCCCCATTACTTTCCTCATCTCTCCCCTATTTTCTCTCTATATCTATCATTGATAATTTATTTTCTTTTCAAGTATGTAAAGATTTGATTTATTTTTTCATCTCTCATTTATTCTCTCTCCCTCTCTCTCCCCCTATTTTCTCTCTCTCTCTCTCTCTCTCCCTCCCTCCCTCTCCCCCTCTCTCTTCCTATTTTTTCTCACTATTTATATCAACATTACAATAATACAATCATACTAATCAGTTACACAAATCAATTACAATTGTACTACAATACACCAAACAATTATTCATACGTTCTAATAAACCAAACAATTACACCAAATAATGACACAAATTTATAACACTAACTCAATTTGTTATTCAGTTGTTTACATAAACTAAATAGTTGTACAATTTACTATAGCGACATCGTTACACCAATCATATATACTGATAATAGTAAGATTTCAGCTTGGGTCACCCATCCAAAAACCTATAACGTCCAATGGGCCCCGTAGTTACATGGCAGCCCAAACGGTCCATCCTTAGCTTGCTCACCCCATAGGAAAAATGGACCACAACCCAAAAAAAAGGGGTTCGATGACATCCAGGTTAGTATGCTCTTACTTGGGTAGTGTTTTAAAATCCAACCCGGCCCAGCGGGTCAACCTGGTGAACCAGTGAACCAGTCCCCTAACCGGGCTAATTTTATTCAAAGACCGTTTATGTAAAAAATCCGGGGTAAACCCGTGAAAACCGGACGAGTTTATCAAACAGGGTGGTTTAATTTGATTTGTATAAATGTGAAAAATTTTTCATCATTTGGGGCATTTTTGTGTTTTTTTCCCTTTTGTTTTGCCTTAAATCGTTCCAAACCAGACGACATAATCGATTCCAGTCCAGCAGGCAGTCGATTCCAGCACCAGCAGGCAGTCGACTCTAGCGATTCCAATTCAATCAACTCCAGTTCAGTGAGTTTTTTCCTCTCTCTTTCTCTCTCTCTCTCTCTCTCTCTCTCTCCGCCCCCCCTTTTTTCTTTGTCTCTTTTGAGCTTCAATCCATAAACTTCCAGTAGATATGAGATTAACAATAGAGAAGTCGATAATTTGGAGAAAGTAAAGCACAGATCAGATCAAGCCCAACCCAGCAAAACCATTAAGGAATCATCTAAGAATCAAATGGCTGGAGAAAGCAAAGCGCCGCCATCGGACGCTCAACTCTTTAGGCTCCTCTCCAGTCTTCTTTAGCAGGTACAACAACATTTCTTCACAACTTTGTTTTGTCGGTCAGTTTATGTGCAGGTAGAGTATGTAAAATTAAAAGAGTTTTGATTAATTTTTTGATGCAATATCTGATCTGGGTATTTCAATATATTGGTTTTATAGTTTGAGTTTTTAGTATGTTTGAGAATTAAATGGTGATTTACTTGTTCATGGGCAAATTTGAATGTTTGATCATGATGTTGGTTTAATATGGGTTTTGTTTGATTGAGGATATCTGAGATAGATTGAATTCCCCTTGAAGAGTAATGAAGTTAACTGGATGATTCGAATTATAAATAAATAAAAACATTATCCAAAACATATAGACACATTGTCTTTTGAATGCTTTGTCCTATTCTTTTAATGCTTTTTGACAATGTCCAGTATGAAAATTGGATACATATTTGATAATTTTTCGCTATTTAACTTTACATGTTTGATATTATTTTTATAATTATTGTGATTTTTTAGCCTAGTTATTATTATTTATATTTATTTTTTATTATATTACCGGTCTGGCTAGTGACTCAACTGTTGAACCAGTGACTCATTGATCCAGTCTCTTCATCGAGTTGATGTCTAGGCTGAGTTTTAAAACTATGTGCTCAGCTACATCCAGCTCGGGAACAAGGAGCTCAGTACTCTTTGGATCCCTAATATCTCCCATCACGCCACGTGCCCAAGGGGTAAGGGGGTCTGGAGCCACTAACGAACATGTGCTCACTGACAGAGGGAATATTGGTGCTCATTCCGTTTAAGAATCGTGGGCACTATTTGCGTTAGGGTGACAGATAACACTACAAGACAAAGGAAAAAAGGGACCACAGAATCAACAAAGAAAGGGAGAAATCATAGAAGCCTTTAGATAATTACTAGTATAAATAGACTATCACGTGTGTAAATGACTCCAAAAAGAGAAATCTATATTCACCAGAGCACTATATGCAAAGACTTTAAGCCTAGAAATCTATTATAATCTTCTTCTTCAAGTAATATATACTTCTAGGAGCAAAAGTCTCAATTACAGTGGATGTAGTCTTGGTTCTTCAGCTAAGGTGAACCATTTATATACTGTTTTGATCCAACTTCACCTCTTTCTACTCTGTTAATCCAAATATTCACATTACCCCCGTCATCGGGTCTCCAATCCACGGTTATGCACTTAGGCCAAGTATTTTCGAGTTACCCCCATCATATACCAAATTTAATATAATGGTAAAGTTTTTTGTGTAATCATAAACTCAATTTGCTGTATATAATTAGTGTAATCATGTCGTGATACTAAATAGTGTAACTCTTTAATTTATATAAATAATTAAATGATAAATTGAATTAGTATTTTAATTTTGTATAATTGTTTAGTGTAGTTGTTTGGTTTATTAGAGCACATGAATAATTATTTAATGTATTATACGGTAATTTTAAGTAATTTGTGTAATTGATTAATATAATAGGGTTGTGTAACATTGACATAAAGAGAGAAAATAAGGAAATAAGGGGAGAGAGAGTGAGAGAGAAAAAAAATAGGAAGAGAGAGATGACAAATTAAATTAAATATTTACATATTAAAATTTTTTTTTATCAATATGAGAGAAATAGATAGAGAGAAAATATAGAATAGAGAGTGAAAGAGTATTGGAGAGAGAGAAAGAGTAATAAAGTAATAAATACAGTTTTAGTATTTTTTTAAAAAAATACGCTTAGAACTAAATAAATTTCATTAATATAATTTAACTCAAATAAGTTTAAATTTTTATATCAATTTTTATATTACCCTTGAAATTTTGGGTAGGATTGCATGGGATGTTGACTAGTCAACGGTCTGACTTGATAGCTGGCACACTGTCCTCCATGGGCCATGGACTGGCCTAGTCAGGCCTTATGGGCTTAGCCCTGATCCATAGCCGAGGCTTAAGATTCACCTTTGGCTTAGGATGTACTTGTATATGTCTCTTGTTATGGCTACTATGCAATTAGAATAGTAGTAATAACGTTTAGATCTAATTTGGTGGCGTAATAGATTACAATCCTTAGATTAGTAGAGAATTCTATTTTGAGGCCGATTATCAATTAGGTCAGCAAATAATAATACTTTTATGACTTGTTTGGTAGATGTATTATAAGAGAATTAAATATTAAATTGTAATATTTTTTATTTAATTGAGTCTAATATTTTGTTTGATAAAAAAATTTGATATTGTATTAATTTTAAAAACATATAATAATCGTATATTTTTTATACGATAGACCTGCATTATAGAGAGAATTTAATACCACTAAGAANTTATCAATATGAGAGAAATAGATAGAGAGAAAATATAGAATAGAGAGTGAAAGAGTAATGGAGAGAGAAAAAGAGTAATAAAGTAATAAATACACTTTTAGTATTTTTTTAAAAAAATACGCTTAGAACTAAATAAATTTCATTAATATAGTTTAACTCAAATAAGTTTAAATTTTTATATTACCCTTGAAATTTTGGGTAGGATTGCATGGGATGTTGACTAGTCAACGGTCTGACTTGATAGCTGGCACACTGTCCTCCATGGGCCATGGACTGGCCTAGTCAGGCCTTATGGGCTTAGCCCTGATCCATAGCCGAGGCTTAAGATTCACCTTTGGCTTAGGATGTACTTGTATATGTCTCTTGTTATGGCTACTATGCAATTAGAATAGTAGTAATAACGTTTAGATCTAATTTGGTGGCGTAATAGATTACAATCCTTAGATTAGTAGAGAATTCTATTTTGAGGCCGATTATCAATTAGGTCAGCAAATAATAATACTTTTATGACTTGTTTGGTAGATGTATTATAAGAGAATTAAATATTAAATTGTAATATTTTTTATTTAATTGAGTCTAATATTTTGTTTGATAAAAAAATTTGATATTGTATTAATTTTAAAAACATATAATAATCGTATATTTTTTATACGATAGACCTGCATTATAGAGAGAATTTAATACCACTAAGAAAAGTGATATTATAATATAACTCAAACGTATTATTTTAACACATTTACTATTATAATATCCAACTGATAAAATCAAGTTGTCATCGATATCATAAACACAGATTGAGAGTATTTTTATTAATTCAACACTAACACTATGAAATAATTCCCTATAAAACAATTGATTTTATTAAATAATTATTATCTAACGTTTATGTTGTATATTGTTAAACATTAGATAAAATTACGTATTATTCTAATGCCTTATTTAATTTTATTTTTTGTTTTTCTGTATTTATTAAACTCTATTATTTTATTTAATTCATTTATTTTTAATACAACAACCAAATAAGCCCTAAGACTAAGAATAGATGGCTACTCGGCCAAGAATGAATTAGACTAATTCCCCGGACACAATCAGTTATGAACAATTTTACATGCAATACTACATTGGAATATCGGAAATAATCTCACAGGCAAAAAAAAAAAAAAAAAAAAGATAAACCATAAAAGTAGTTCATAATAAATCACCTTGGGCTTTGATTTATAACTATTCATAAAAGTAATCCAACAGAAATCGCAAGTAACCCCAAAATTATTCATTAACATTAACACAAGGTGTAGTTACAGCCACTCCAAAGTATGGTCAAAGTTCGAACATCCCAATAACCAAAGTTGAGAATACTCAACCTCGACAGACTCAATTCGATCGATCCCTTATCCAACCCTCGACAAACTCTACACAAAACGGGTTGCATCACTCTGATTTCATTTTGTTGATCTGGTTCAAACCTGGTTGTAGAATATTGTATAGCACCCAAAGAATAGCAGGGACAATCACAAACAGTAGAAGCTGTCCTCTGCTGTCACTTGAAGCTTCAGCTATCATGGTCACTTCACTGGCTGAGGCATGAGGAGTAGACATGAACCCTAATGTAGCCAAGCCACCAAGGCCAAGCCCAATGATGACCCCTTGGCTGCTTCTCATCTTGTTAATCTGATTAAGAGCTGGTTGGAGAATATTGAAAAGCACCCAGGCAATGGCCGGAATGATGGGTAGTAGTAGAGCAAGACCGCGGCTATCGCCTTCTGCTATTTCAGCAATTTGTTGGGCTGCAAAGGCCGGATTGCAAGAACTCAGGGCTGAGAAAAAAGCTCCGGCGAGGGCTGTTCCGGCGAGTGGTGATGTTAAGAATTCTGAGTTGTGGGATGGTTTTCCGTTGGTGAGGCCTTTTGGGAGGCTTTGCATGGAGAGGAGAGAAATGGGTTTTGTGGGTGGCCTTGAAGGGTTGAGAGTTTTGGGAGAGCTGAAGGTCAAGCACTTGGCATTGAGAACGGCCATTGCTGCCATGGTTGCTGCCATTGGTTTCTGGTGAGCTCACAAGGATTGAGATTGGGTTCAATGGTTGAGTTTGTTGGCAAAAGGGTATACAGAAATGAAGACTGATGAGAGAGGGAGGAACCAATAGGATTGTAAAGTTTAGATTTCTCTCTTATCCAGAGAGTGTGATTGGTGAGATTTTGGACCTCATGTTTTAGACCCCACACTATGATCATATCCATATAGAATGTTCTATTTTGAGTTTAGGAACCATATCATGTTTGATGTTTAGATGGTTTTGAGGTTAGGGATTGTATTAGTTTTATCAAATTTTTTTAAATTCAAACTTCATTTTTGTGTATATGGAATTTATATATAAATTTTATTCATATTCGTGTTTTGATAGGTAATATATACACACGTAAGATTCACGAATTTATCATAATTATTAACACACATTTATTTTATAAATCACTATATTATTCATTGACAAATTTAATCTATACTAAAAAGTTTATTTAATTACATAGAGGAGTAATTAGGGGGTTGAAATGCAATTTGATAGATAATATATTTTATTAAGGATAAAAGAGTTATTTGACATAATTAACCAAAACCTAGACTAGGAAATATGAAACCCACCTCCCTGGGTTTGTCCAACTTCATGTATATAGGTTTAATACACTGGGTCATTTAAGGGCCGAGAAAAAAATTTTGAGTTTAAAAATACTAACCAAACACAAAATTACGGGATCTATCAAACTATTTTTTTTAAACCCTCTTTCCAAACCTCCAAACCTGGTAAACAAACAGACCCAAACTTGTTTGGATGATTTTTGAGGAGGAATTTGGATTGGCTTCCCCAAATCCTTCCAAACCTAAATCATTCTTTGAAAAGATGGGATTCAACATTCAATTTGATTCATACCCATATTTGGTTTGCAACACATACACAAGTAGGATGCCTAAATCGACTTTGTGTAAAATCAACAGTCGAGTGTATGTAAGGGTGCAATTAATGAGCAGTAAATAAACAATCAATGATAAAACAGTAAATATGAAATCAACACAAAGATTTATACAGGTTCGATTCGGGTGACCTATTCCACTCTCGGGAACGGCAGCGGTGGTCGGAGATCTTTATTGATGAATAATGTCACCGGGAGAGTAACTCCGGAAATATTACAATGCTTTGGAGAGAAATAGAAAGAGAGATCAATTTGTGTAGGGAGGTGTAGTGTGTGTAGGGATCTTGTAGAGATCTCAAGGTCATGCCAAGATTTTAAGGTCATGCCTTTTATGTAAAGAGGGCTTACATTATATAGGTTTAGTAAGATGGTGAGGTGGTGACGTGAGGGAGATGACTTCTACTATTTTGGTAAGTGCAATTATGGTAGGATTAGATCTCCGAGCGTATCCTAATATTCTCTCCCTCATGATCCTGTTCTGTCAAAGNGCGGTGACGTGAGGGAGAGGACTTCTACTATTTTGGTAAGTGCAGTTATGGTAGGATTAGATCTCCGAGCGTATCCTAATATTCTCTCCCTCATGATCCTGTTCTGTTAGAAGAAGATCTTGAGCTGGGTTGGACCTGATTCTAAGTTTGGACTTAGGTTAGAGTGGCAAAGTGAGAAGCAATGGGCAGTGCTTGGACAGTTGAGGGGGCCATGGGCGATGACCTAAGTGCTTGGGTGTTGGCTCTTGGTGCTTTGGGTGTTGGCCTCTTGCACCTCTTGGACGTCCGGCTCTTTGATGTCCGCCTCTTGGGCATCCACCTCTTGGACGTCCGCCTCTTAGGCGTTGACCTCTTGATGTTCTTTTGGATTTCCTCTTGATGGGTTGACCCAGATTTAGTTGGGCTCTTCTTTGAACTTTCTTGATTTATTTAAATTGGACTTGGCCCAATTAATTTCGGGCGCATCATTTGCTCCCCATGCCCCAAGCCTCTGACTTTTCGAGAGAAAAGAGTTGCGGGCATGTGCTTCGTCTTCATCGGAGTGAGTCGAAATTTTCTTTATCTCCAAAACTCCGTTGTATTAATTGGTATCAAAATTTTTTTTCTCTTTTCCTTCTTCTTTTCTTTTCCTATTTTTTTTTTTGGCTTGGTTGGGCGCCTCCCCTTTTTGACTTCTCTTTTCTCTTTTTTTTTTCTTTTCCTTTCTTCGGGCTGGGTGCCACCTTTGCTCCTTTTTTTTTTTTTTTTCTTTCTTGGTCTGCTGGCTTGTTGGGCTCGCTTTCTCCCCTTTTTTTTTTTGTCTTTTCTTCATTTGCTGTCCTAGGCACCGCCCTCTTAACCTCTCTCCCTTTTTTTTCTTCTTTCTTCTTGGCTGTCCTGGCGTTGCCTCCCTTTCTCTCCTTTTTTTTTTTCTTTCTTTTCTTCTTAGTTGTCCTAGGCGCCGCCCCTTCTTCTTTCTCTTTTCTTTTTTTCTTCCTAGCCTGGTTGGGCGTCGCCCTTTTGTGCGCTGGCCTTCTCCCCTTTCTCTTTTTTGTTTTCTTGGCCTGCCTGGGCGTCAGCCTCCCTAGTGCTATCCCCTTTTTCTCTCTCTCTCTCTCTTGATTTCTTCCTTGGCTTGTTAGGTGCCGCCCCTTCATTTTTTTTTCTTTTTGGTTTTCGGTCTGGGCATTGGCCCTTCTCACATCTTTTTTTTTTTTATTCTTTTTTGGCTTCCTTCCTTAGACGACTCTTGCTGGTCAAGTGAGAGGGTCTGTTGGGTGCTGGGCAGCGCCAGAGCTGTGTACTACTTTGGGTGATGCTAGGGGTAGACTGGGATGGTGTTTTAAGTGATGCCAAGAGGCTGGTCAGGCGCCTTGGGCGACGCCAGGAGACCTTGAGCACTACTGTGTTTGGGGGATGTCCTAAGTCTTGCTATGAGCGGTGTCTCTCTGGTGCTTGGTCACTAATTGACCTTGTCTCTAATTATAGGCGCCCTGTTGATAGAGCAATGGTGGAGACTCTTGTGCTTTTAGGGTGGTGTCTTCTCCTCCTCCCAAGAGGGCGAAGTTTGATGCCCCCAGTGTTTTTTGGCTAAGGTCTAATGACCAAGTTGTTTCCTAGGAACAGGATCTGGTGTTGCCCCCACTTCTTCCCAGATTGATGTNGCGCCCTGTTGATAGAGCAATGGTGGAGACTCTTGTGCTTTTAGGGTGGTGTCTTCTCCTCCTCCCAAGAGGGCGAAATTTGATGCCCCCAGTGCTTTTTGGCTAAGGTCTAATGACCAGGTTGTTTCCTAGGAACAGGATCCGGTGTTGCCCCCACTTCTTCCCAAATTGATGCTTCTGTGTGTATTAGAATTAGTCCTTGTACTGCTGTAGGAGTTGAGGCTCCAATGTAGTTTTTACGGAGACTGTGGCTTCACCCTACTNGGTGTTGCCCCCACTTCTTCCCAGATTGATGTTTCTGTGTGTATTAGAATTAGTCCTTGTACTGCTGTAGGAGTTGAGGCTCCAATGTAGTTTTTACGGAGACTGTGGCTTCACCCTACTTCTTGTAGTGGCTCGGTTACAGATGACCCGAGCTTCAACAGTGTGCCTGACAAAAATAATGTTATCTCAACATTAAAATATCTAACATGATTACCTGGAGAAAAGGGTAGGCTATTTGTATGAGAGCAACGTCAGAGCTGTAGATATCCCGTGAGAGGGCCGCATGAGCTGAGGCTGAGCTACGTATAGTCTCGGGAGATGGCTGTCGTGGCAGAGATTTGCGCGAGAGCAGAATCATAGAGGTCGAGCTACGTATAGTCTCAGGAGATGGACTTGTGCGAGAGCAGAGTCATAGAGGCCGAGCTACGTATAGTCTCAGGAGATGGACTTGCTCGAGAGTAGAGTCATAGAGACTGAACTATGTATAGTCTTGAAAGATGATTTTCGTGGCTGAGGTTTTCTAGGTGACTACTTGCACGGGAGCAGAGTCATAGTCTTTGCATAGAAGGCTCCCAAGGTGTAAAGGGCTGGACCCCTCGTCTGGGCGTCTACTACTGGGCACCTGGCNGTATAGTCTTGAAAGATGATTTTCGTGGCTGAGGTTTTCTAGGTGACTACTTGCACGAGAGCAGAGTCATAGTCTTTGCATAGAAGGCACCCAAGGTGTAGAGGGCTGGACCCCTCGTCTGGGCGTCTGCTACTGGGCACCTGGTGATGGTGCCTTTTGTCTTCCTTGTTGTTAGGTCATGCTCTGACATTTTTAAGTTATTTGTAAATTTTAGGAAGACAATTCAGACACAATAATCTTCGCAAAGTTTTATTTCATAAAATAATAAATAACAAAATAAATCAATTGAAACAACAAAGGATAGATAAAATCTTCTGGTGTTCGACGTCCATAGGTGGGCCGAGAATTTTTTGGCAGGNAGACACAATAATCTTCGCAGAGTTTTATTTCATAAAATAATAAATAACAAAATAAATCAATTGAAACAATAAAGGATAGATAAAATCTTCTGGTGTTCGACTTCCATAGGTGGGCCGAGGATTTTTTGGCAGANATAATAAATAACAAAATAAATCAATTGAAACAACAAAGGATAGATAAAATCTTCTGGTGTTCGACGTCCATAGGTGGGCCGAGAATTTTTTGGCAGGGTTCAAGTCAACTCCTCTTAGCCCTTTGGCAATCGTCTAAATTTTTTTGAGGGGTTGTTGGCATTCTCCATCATCCTGGTCCCGACCAGGTTGCGAGGTTTGTCCTTTGCCAGCAATATACTGCCTCAAGCGGCCATGCTGTATGAGCTCCTCGATCTGCCTTTTAAGGTCAAAGCAGTCATCAGTGTCATTATCGTGGTCGCGGTGAAAGCGACAATACTTGTTCAGACTCTTCCGGTTCGGGGTGGTCTTCATCTTCTCTGGCCAGCGTACTGTAGGGTCATCCTATATTTGGAAAAGGATATGTTCCACGGAAGCACTAAGTGGCGTAAAGGCTTGCAATTCTCTAAGAGGTGAGGGGACCAAGGAGGTCCTTAATAGGGATTTTCTCTGTCCTCTTTCTCTTGCTCTCCGCCTCCTACTTGTCTTCGTGGACGTCCTTTCTTCTCTCGCCCCCATGGGAGGACTCACCTCATCTGGCCTCGGTGACATCCTCGGCGTTCATGTATTTCTGTGCCCTAGACAATAGCTCGAGCATGCTGGAGGGCGGCTTCCTGAGGACAGAGAACATAAAACTGGAGGTGCGAAGGCCTGTGATAAAGGTGGCCAAG